CCACAAGAGTCCTATCCTTGGGCAGTTGTGGGTTGGGGAGGGACACCTGGGCCCCTACCACTCTCTGCTGAACCGTTGACCGCTGGTAGATGCTGGGAGAGCGGGGGTCGTTAGTTGTCTTCTCACTGCTGGCTGCCAGCCTGAGTGGATGAGGGTGACACAGATGGCCCTGGCTAAACTCCATGGTCCATAAAACAGATCACAAAGACATGAGTGCGGGGAAGGGATTTTGTAGAGAATGGATGTTGGCAGGGACAGGGTGAGGATGAGAGTAATCACAGTGCATTTTATACATGTATGAAATTGTCAGGCAACACAATTAATTTTAAAAATAGCTGGAAAAATACATGAAAAATGCAAGTAACATTGACGATACTAGAAATATGAATTAGGAAAATATTTTTTATCTACGAAAACTGACTCAAGGGGAAGGGAAGGCCAAACAGTTGTGTATCCATTACAGAAGGGCTCTGTGTGCTGGTACCGGCCTGTAATCTCCACTCAGGAGGTTGAGGAGCTCCGAATCATACAGTGAGTTTCCCACAGCAGCCTGATCTACATTAGCAACATCTTGAATCAAAAAGTAGCAATAAATAAATAAATTCAATTAGTAATCAGAAAACTCACAAAGTAAATTTTCGGCCCAGGGTGGGTGGCATCATTGGCAAACTCTCCTACAAATTCAAAGATAATGCTCCTTCAATTTTATGATAACATTTTAGGAAGGCAGGAGAAGGCTCCTGGAACCTTTTTTTTTTTTTTTTGGTTTTTTTTGAGACAGGGTTTCTCTGTGTAGCTTTGCACCTTTCCTGGAACTCACTTGGTAGCCCAGGCTGGCCTTGAACTCACAGAGATCCACCTGGCTCTGCCTCCCAAGTGCTGGGATTAAAGGCGTGTGCCACCACAGCCCGGCAAGGAACCTTCTTTGGATAAGTCTCCAGGTGCTACTGTAACACGTTTCCATCAACTATTTTTTTGAGATAGGGTTTCCCCATGCAATTCTGGCTCACCTGGAACTCACTCTATAGACCAGGCTGGCCTCAAACTCACAGAGATCTGCCTTCTCTGCCTCCTGAGTGTCCATAATCATTTTAAAATAATAGAAGTTTCCTGTACCTCGGTTCTGGGGGCTGGACGCTCATGATGGGACACCAGCAGGCCCTCTTCCTGTGGGGTCTAAGGAGAACCTTTGCCTGTCCCCTCTGGCATCCTGTGGCTGGCACTGTCAGTCCTTGCTTTGGAAGTGTTATTCCCCACTGTTTCTGTCTTCACATGCCTTCTTCCCAGCAGGTCCACAGTGAAGTCTCTGATCTTAGGTAGCTTCTGATTACCCAGTATTACATATTTTCCTTTTATAAGAGATTCGTTATTTTATGTATATGAGTAAAGTTTTGCCAGCATGTATGCCTGTACCGTGTGCACGCAATGCCAGCAGAGGCCGAGAAGGGCATCCGATCCTCTAGAACTGGAGCTAGAGATGGTGATGAGCTGCCCTGTGGGTGCTGGGAACCAAATCCAGGTCCTCTGGAGGAGCAGCCGGTGCTCCTAACAGATGAGCCATCCTTCCAGCCCCTGTGTCACCTCTTCTGAACGTGAAGGGCTCCACAAAGGCTCTGCTTCCAAGTCAGATGATATTCACAGATACTCTGTGGACACAGCAGTGCAATACCTATCTCAGTTTGTGCTGATGCTAGCCTGAGCTTAAACTAGTACCTGACCAGGGCAGTGTGAGCAATCAAAAGGATAGAGCAACCCTGATCTTGCTATTCTCCAAACAGGACCTCCTGTTATGTAAAAGGTGTGACAACCACTCTTGTCTTAGAAGTATGAATCCTGGGATACTCCGTCAGTGTTACTTATCCCAGTAGAAGATTAAAAAGGATAATGATATGGTTATTTCAAGAGATGCAGGGCAAATTATATTCAATAGAGAACATAAAGATAAAAATTCTTAGTGAGCTAGAGTTGAAGATAGCCATGTTTACAAGACCTACAGCAAACAAAGAAATGGTGAGTAGAAAGCTCTCCTTGTGGGAGGAAGAGAAGGCTGAACTCTGCTCATTTGGACTTAGACCCTTTTCCAGCCTACTGAACTAGAAAAGTAAACCAATGGTGTAAGGATTGTAAAGGAAGCTTTAAAACAAACAAACAACAACAACAACAAAAACACCCCATTATCCAAAGATACGGTTATGTTTGCAGGAATAGCAAAATAAGTCATCAGAAATTCATTGTAATTAAGAAGGGAATCTAATAAAACTTCTAGACATTAAACCAGTGTCCAAAATTGAAGTTTTCTCCAAGAATTGGAATCACTATACCCTTACCTTTGGTTTCTGTGAAGCTGTGACCACACTGTTAGTTAATTGGCCGCGTTGTGCTCTTACCCTGCAAGAAAATATCATGAAACATGACAGAACCCGCTAATAAGAGTTTTATTAAAGATAAAGGGTCAGAGAGTGCGCAGGCCTGTGGGAGAGACTCGTGTGTGGAGAAGAAGAAGGAACCAGGAACATGGTGACAGATTTTTAAAAGCTGGGCGTGCCCAGGTCATATCACTACTCCACGCATGTGCGTAGATCACATGGCCACGTTTCGCGTTCTATCAGGGACTAGAGAGATGGATCAGTGTCTAAGTGCACTGGCTGTTCTTGCAGAGGGTGAGATGGCCATGTAGCCCTCTGTAACTCCAGTTCCTGGGAATCCAAGGTTCTCTTCTGGCCTTCACAGGTACTGCAGGCATGTGGTACACAGACACAAAATGCAGACGAAATCCCCATACCCCTAAAATAAAATTAAGTAAGTCATTTAAAAATGCTTTCAGGAAACCAGGACTTATCCTGGGTACACGAACTGGCTTTTTAGAGCCCATTCCATATGGTGCCATGCCTTACTCAGCCTTGATGCAGTGTGGAGGGGCTAGGTCCCTACCTGGTGTGCCAGACTGGGTTGACTCCCCAAGGGAGGCCTTACCCTCTAGGAGGAGGGGATGGGGGTAGAATAGGGGTAGGTGGAGGGAAGCAGGAGAAGGGCAGGAGGAGGAACAGGGGTTGGTATGTAAAAGAATGAATTTTTTTTTTAAATAAAAAATTATTTTAAAAATGTTTTTAGGAAATATATAGAGACTAAGTTGGTTATGGACATAACTCGTAAATAGTCTGCATTTAACTATGGCATTTTACACTGTAATGGCTTTTGCTCTTAGTGAAGAAAGGGTGACATTCTTAACAACTAGGTTGGTGAAGAGTGAGAGGGCCTGACTCTCAAAACGATAGACTTAGTAAAGAACTAGTTCTTTTTTCTGGGCTCTTCAGTTTCCCCAAAGTTGAAGCTGCTCACTACCCAGTGGGAACGCAGAATGTGGAAGGTGATATGGTTCCTGGTAAAGATGTGATTTTTCTCTCATTTCCTTCTGTCTACAGTCTGAGGCTGAAGTGCCTCTCAGCCCCAAGGCATCTGAGCCTTCTAAGACTGGCTGTGTCCCCTGGTGTTCGTGACAAAGACCCAGTCCTTCTGAACCAACTCCTCTTGTCCCTGTGTCTTTAGGTGCAGATATCCATGGCTTCAGCGCTCCCTCCTCTGGCCTCAGATTGGGAGACACGGTCGATGAATTACAGAGATACCAGAAGCCAGTAGTGGCTGCTATCGAAGGTGTGGCCCTTGGAGGAGGACTAGAGCTGGCCCTGGGCTGTCACTACCGGATTGCCAATGCAGAGGTAAGAGACTCCTAGGGATGGGTTGGGGTGGGGCTTGTCTTCAGTGCAAACTCTAAAGGTGGGCTAGGCCTGGGCCTGATGGCTTTGAACTGCTGGCTTACCGGTGACGGTCCTGTGCCATCTTGGGTGCTGGCTCCACTGTTTGATTCCCACCTCCCTCTTCCACAGTGTTCCCTGAGCCTTAGGTTCCAATGTTCTTTTGTAGATGTTCCATTGGGGCTGGGCTCCACAACTCTGCATTTTGATCGGTTGTGATTTTCTGTAGTGGTCTTTATCTGTTACAGTGACAGGGGGTGGGAGTGGTGGTGAGGAATGCACTGTGGGTATAAGGACAAATATTTACAATGCAGTTAGAAATTGTTTAGTAAAGCGGTAGTTGTAGGTTCCCTCCAAGATCTCTGAATTCACTAGCCCTGGGTAGCTGGCTAGGTTTCCAGTACCAGAGATGACTTCCCTTTTGTTGAGCGGGTCTTAAGTCCGACTCGAGAGATGTTGGTTACCACGCAGATGTGGGTGCCACTACTGCATCCATGATACTTGTTACGGTTCGTGAGCATCATGACTAGATTGTTGGTTGCTTCCCTCCTTTGGAAGCTGGTGATGTCATGTAAACTAGTCCTCAGGAAGGAGGCTTTCGGGTCAATTCCAGCTTCACAGTCTCTGGGTCCTGTTTCGGAAGTGCCTGGTGTCTTCAGCAATAGGGACCTTCCCTTCCACCTCTGGGAGGCAACCAAAGATAACAACAATATTCTGTAGCATTTGGGGAGTCTCTTGGACAATCCTGACCAACAACCTGAACAGAGACTTCTCATGTCCGGTGTTGGGTTTTCTGTTAAATTGTCTGTGATTCTTGTGGGCAGCATTGTCAGCCCAGATGGGAAAATACCATTTAAACTATATATGTACACATAATACAGACTCATATGTGTTATGTGTAATTTTTGGCAGAGAGATAATAGTATGATGCCCTATGACTTTTTCAGACATCTGTGTATGTGCATGTATGTGTGTGTTGGCATTTGGCCTGCGTGTATGTCTGTGTGAAGGAGTCAGGTCCACAGGAACTGGAGTTGCAGACAGTTGTGAGATGCCCTGGGAATTAAACCCAGGTTCTTTGGAAGAGCAGCCAGTGCTCTGTGGAGCCCCCTTTTCAGACATCTTTACTATTAGTTTAGCCTTCTCCCCCTTTATTCGGTTTTTTAATCTCCTTCCCCCTTCCTAATTAAAACTCCCCCCCATGTCCCCCTTCAAATCACTTGTACCCCAATGTCCTCTTCTCTGTTGAAAAATAGGGAACGCTTCATGAACATGTGTGTCATCCTTGGCAGCTCCCATGATAATCATCTCTGTATTGTTCCAGTTCGGGCATGTGTGCTGCCAAAGTGAGCACCTGCCTTTTTATTATATTCATCCTGGCAGGCATCACTTGTGTTTCATTGTGGCTTACATCTACATCCCCAGTGGCAGATGAAACTGAACGCTATTTACCACTTGTATCCTTTCTTTGGGGGATTGTTTATTCAGATAATCAGCCCATTATTAGTTGGTTGTCCTTTTCTTGTTAGGTTGTGAATGTTCTTTGTAGAGTGGAGATACGGGAAGTTCTGTATCGTTCTCTCCCTCCTCTGGGTTTTGTCTTTATGTTCTGATGCTTGCAGGGACCTGAAAACTGCAAACTACTTTGTTATTGAAAGGGGTACTTGTAGAGTCAAAGGAAAGAAATGTGCCCAAGCAAGGATGTGTGCAAACAGCAGAGCTCTGCTCATGTTATTAAAGGAGACAGTAAACACTGTGTGCCTTCTAGAGACGGTTGCTGATTTCAGTGAAGCTGTTTCTTATGGTGTAGAAAGTCCTGGGCACACTAAAATCTCAATGCATTGTCTCACTACGGTGGCCTTTCTGCCTTTAATGTCTTGTAGGCTCGTGTTGGCTTTCCAGAAGTCACACTGGGAATTCTTCCTGGTGCCAGAGGAACCCAGCTTCTCCCCAGACTCATTGGAGTTCCTATTGCTCTCGACTTAATTACCTCAGGTTAGTAGAAACCTCAGCTATGATTTGGATCAATGTGGAGAACGAGACCAGCGTCTAGGAAGTCTGGTCTTGGTCACTTACTGCCCACACAGGTTCTAAGGAGGCTATTTTAATTTCTCTGACTCTAAATTTTATCGTCTGTAAAATAGAAACAATAATTTTCTTGAGCACTTCCTAAATGTTTCCACGAAGAGCCCATGTGAGAGCCTTCTAAAGGAAAGTACATGCACAGGGCCCCTCTGTTTGGAGGTCATGTTGTAGTCTGTGTTATTCAAAGACTACATATTCATGCGGGAACCATAATAATCAGACCTGGTTTAGAAAGTTGAATGTCTGGGGCTGTGGTGTAGCTCAGTTGGTAGGGTTCTTGTCCAGTCCAGCATGTGTGAACCTGAGTTGGTTCCTTGGCACTGCATAAAACCAGGTCTGGTGATTGGTGACTATTATCCTAATACTCAGGAGATAGAGGCAGGAAGATGCGGCTCATCTTCAGCCATATAGTGTGCTCAGGGCCAGTAGAACATGGAAGGGAGGGAGGGAGGGAGGGAGGGAGGCAGAATATCCAAAAGAATTAAAACTAGAATTTTCAAGTTTAGGTACCAATGATTGAATTATTCATTTTTAAGGTATTAAGATGATAGTTTAAGTGAAAGTGTTTCTTTTTGAGTAGGGACTATGAGCCAAACACTTGGCTTTAGTTGAGGTGAGGCTGGAAGACAGGACATGTACAAGTATTTACTCAAAACAAGTGTGGTTAATCGTAAGTCTGTGGACAGTAGCAGTACCCACCAGAGGGTGATGTAAAGATTGTGTAGGTTACCACAGTGAGCTTAGACGTGGCATGAACTTCCTATCCCTCTAGTCTGATATTGCTGTTTCTGTCTTTTTCTAAGTAAAACTAAGATGAGCAATGAACATAGCGAAGTCTAAAATTCATTTATTGTAATGAAAAGTTGTGTCAGCGTGTCATGAATTGGTCATCGTTTTAAAATCATTTCATTCAGAAACCTTCCTAAGGTTCCTGGCTTTAATTTCCATTACAGCAAACATTGACAGATACCACCTACATAGATAGTAGCCTTTTGGAGCCCTTTACAATTTCTAAGAATGTAAAGGGATGAAAAATGCTTAGAGCCAATAATAGAGATCCATATGCTCTGATTAAAAACTGACAGGTGAATCTCTGTGAGTTCAAGGCCAGCCTGGTCTGCAGAGCTAGTCCAGGACAGGCTCCAAAGCTACAGAGAAACCCTGTCTCAAAACCCTCCCCCCCCAAAAAAAAAAACCTGACAGAAAAACACAGAACCAATAGTCTATATGAATTAAAAATAGCTTTGCTCTTTTAAATGAGATAGATATGTGGAAGGAAAATTAGAAAAACTAGATGTATGGAATTGAAATTCACTCAATCAGGTTACACATTGTTTAATGACAAGTAGATTCAAAAGAACGTAAAGTATTTGGAGTGATTTTGATTTCTTTGGAGAATGCTTATAATTCCGCATTCTGCAGAAATTCAAAGCACGTGAGACAGGTTAGTTCTTCAGCAAAAGACAAAACAGAAGGAGAAGCTCAAAATAAGTAACCACGGTGGGAACTGAGTTTGCAAGCCCTGAGGTGTGCAGAAGTCAGCCTGTGAGGAAATTCGTCAGGAAAGCAAGAGCACCTTGAGAAAAAAACAGGAAGGAAAAGGAGAAGTGAAGGGATCTTGGGCTGGTCTTTGCCCACAGCACTGATTCACAAGACGCCGCTCTTTTAAACTCTGAGATTGACAAGTTTTGATTCGCGTAGCAAAGGCCCCTGTAAATCAGCAGGCAAGCTGGCACAGGAATCACACGCCTGTCCTCTTGAGTGGACAGTGTGATTTGGTGGCCCCAGGTTAGCTTTAAAATGACATCTCAGGAAGCTTCCATGAAGACATCCAAATGTTAAGTTTGAGAAAAATTCTTGGAGAAATTTGGGAGGACACATGCCAGAGTTGACCGTGTGAGAGGCGCTGTGTGCTCCAGTCACTTTGGGGTCCCCTGCAGCTCATCATCCAGCACCTTTGGGTGACAGCCTGCTAGACAGAGGTCCCATCTACACCACCCAGGAGAGGACAAAGCCACAGGGGAGGCTTTGGGTTCAGCTCGCAGGGTCTTGTGTTTTACTCATTAGTCGTTTGGAGCAGAACTGGGCCTTTGTGAAGGCGCTGGTAACTAAAAATGCCCCCAGGATGTTCTGAGACTCAAGAGCATGGCAACAGCCAGCCCCTCCCACGGGCAGCTCACACTCCCCTACCTTGTTGCCCCAGAGATTTCTGTAGTGCCCAGATTTCATTTTCTATGCCCTGGTCTTTCTGCTCTGCCTAAGCAGGTTCACGTACACTCACCCAAGTGTCCTTAAACAGAGAACACTTGACACCATTCGCCTGCCCCACGCTCCTCACCGGATGAGGGGGTCTGAAAGGCTGTTGATAAGCACTCGCCGAGGGATCCTCCCTCAGCAGAGCACTGATGCCACCAAGCTTGAGGTTACGGCCACACTTCACTGCCAGGGCATTAAGGAGCAGACCTCTAAGTGTGTCTCCTGCCTTCTCAGCCTCCACAGGAAGCAGGGCTACGAAGCTTGCCCTGCAGAGAGTCCACAACATAAGGCAGGGTCAAAAGAGACAAAACTCTGTCCGATTTCTCCTCTGTGATTTTCACTGCACTTTGTGGAATGCCAGCTTAATCACCACGGTCTCTCTGTTCGGCCAACTAGCTCTGTATTCAGGGACTGTTGATCAGTACTGTCCTGCTATGTGGTAGGCACAAAGTAGATAGCCCTGTCTGTCTGGTGCTACCGCTTCTATCACAAGCCAAAACTCAGCCAGTTCGCATACCTCCATAGAGATTTACAGGGATCTCTACCTCTGTAAGCATCTAGAGGTAAACGTTTCATTTATCTAATATTCAGAATTACTACGGTAAGCATAATTACCCCATTTATCAGGGATGGGAAAAACAGAATATCAACTACAGTGGTCAGGCTGGTCTTATACATTTTTCTTACTAATTGGTATAATCAGGAGTGGCCACCTTCACCACTAGAGAGAACAATGCCCCGGTTCGTCCTCATGTTGGTCTTTAGCTTATTTTATTTCCTTTTGTTTCAGGAAGACATATTCCAGCAGGTGAAGCGCTCAAGCTTGGCATTCTGGATGCAGTTGTGAAGTCAGACCTTGTTGAAGAAGCAATCAAATTTGCTCAGAAGATTATAGGTAAACAATAATTTTAAAAAATAGCACAAGATTGGGAATAAGTTAAATGTGCTTTCTAATGGGGAACTCCCTAAATATCTAATGGGGCATCCATGGAGTAGAATGTAGCCAAGCTTTAATGCTACATTGATCTGGCATAAACTCCATAGTCTATTGTATTAGGTAATGAAAAGAACATTGTTTTAAGTGGTGTTTTGCCAACGTGTAACAGAAAAGAAGGGTGTGAGTGGAGAGAAGGTGTATATGTTGAGAGTGGGCTAGCATGCTGCTGTCTGTGCCTAAAGTCTTCCAGAAGCAGTCACAGGAAATGAAGTGACTGCTCCTGGGAGTGGAACCAGACATTGCTGAAGTTTTAAGGACATGGTTTATAGTTTGTTCTGCTGTACCTGGAGATGTCATACTCTATGAGTGTTCTTCTGGTTGAAAAATAGAATTAAGTTGGAACAAGGAACAAACATGTAGCTGGTCCACTAGAGGAAGAGCCTACAAGGCCTTCAGAGAGTTCATGGCCTCCGAAGTTTCTCCGGAGTTTGGACATGTGAGTTCTGTCCCTGCTGGACTTGTGGACCAGTGGTGTTCCTTCAAATGTCCCTTTAGTACTTGCTTACAGAATTGTTTTGGCTTTTTAAATGTTATTTTTGTTTGTTTGGTTGGTTGGTTGGTAGGTTGGTTTTGGTTTTATTGTTTGTTTGTTTTATTTTTGGTGTGTGTATTTTTTTTTTTTAATTTAAAACTGTGCCTTTAAGCTAGGAAAAAATAAAACTGGGACTGGTGGCAACTCTGGGACATGAGTGCAAAGCCAGAGCCCAATTCCCAACAGCATTCCTGCCACAAGTCACAACGGAAACAAAATCCACTGAAGAACTGCGGTGGGAAGTTATGGAGGCCGCATGCTCTCACTGAGCAGGAAGAAGCTAGAAATTGTTAAGAAAATACTTACAAGGATTGCTGGGCTCCAGGCAGAATGGAGTGTGTGCCAGTCTCTGCTTGGCGACAGAGAAAGCTCAGGGTCATTCCAAGACATTCCTGTGAAAGCTCGTTGGCTGCCCCTCCAGTGACCATTTTTCACCCCGAAGTCTTTTCTATGGTCCAGCTTGTTGGGGTTTCGGTGTACAGGC